TTTTTCTGAGAAACAGTTTTTCATATTGTGTTAAAAAATCAATTTCGAGCACCGGTATGCTGACAGGTTTTGCTAACGTACAACCACGAAGCAGAAGGCCTTCATTTTCAAGAAGCGATGAAAATATCGACAGAATCTGAGATATTTTGCAATCATTTCGCCGGTTGACAGTCAGAATAGTCGAGGTTAACTTGAATTAGACTCTCACCATCGTTCATCATCAGATCAAGGACAACTGGGTATTGCATCCCGATAATGCTTCTTGTGACACAGCAATGTCAATAAACGAGTGTTTGGCCAGTAAAGACATTTCCGTGGCTCCTCAGCCTCCTTGTTCACCTGACTTGAGTCCTTATGACTTCTTCTCTTCCCGAAGTTGGAAAATCACCTCAAGGGGTCAGTCGAAAATATCAAAACGGCTGTAACCGACCAGCTGAAGGCTATTCCAGTATTGCGGTTCCAGCACTGCTATGAGGAGTAGAGGAACCGACTCCACATCGCTGGACTCGGTTCTTCCACTTCCTTCAGAAAGAAGCTATTTTGAGGGTGACAATATAAAATTGTGATTATATTGGAATGAGATAATTTAAGAAAGTCAGCCTCACCACTTAACTTACAGACCTCGTACATGTACATAGGTATGAATGTATGTACAGTGCTTTTCTCTAATGTCCCCATCCCCTTTGATTTCTTGAACGGATCAATTCAAAAAATTAAAACTTGAGGTAATGGAATTGATACGTGGATACGATATTTTAGAGTGAAATCGACTGATGAAAATGTCAAGATGGCCGCTGGGCACCATCTTGAAAAAAAAATTATATGGAAATGGGGGTCTTGTGGCACATCATTTTAAAGCTCCTGACGAGTACTTTATAACTCTAGAATATAAAGTCAATACCTTTACCTACTTCAAGATGGTGGTACATTCAATAATTACCTGAATATATTGACATTTAACTTGAAAATTCGAATAAATACGTTGAGTTCAGTTTAGAAGATGCTGGAAATGGTTGTCTTGAACTTCTTGACACAATAACAGCCGATCCGTAATTTCGCGTCGAACATTTTCAAACATAGTAACATTGACATTTCTACAAATATTTGTTATTCTCAGCCGTATATCCAATATTGAACCAGGTTCAGTTTCGCACACCTTTTGCTTCAAATAGACCCATAAAAAAAGTCTAAAGGTGTCAAATCAGGCGGGCAAGCTGGCTAACTTGTCTGGAGTAGTGCGGTGGAGCACCATCTTGCTGGAATACAATATAAGTATCGAATTCATACATACAGTTCCTCGGTTAAAGTTTGTTCGATAAATAGAGGCCCCACAATATGATTTCCCAATATCCCATCCCAAACGTTAATTTTTGTGGGTATTGAGTATGAGTTTCCCGGAAGACGTGAGGATTGGTGTCACTCCAATAACGACAATTTTGTCTATGTACATTACCGTTGATAAAAAATGTACATTCATCACTAAAACAAATATTTTGGATATAGGTATAATGCCGTGCAATGGTTTCCGTCATAGTCTCGCAGAATTCTGTTCTTCGATCAGGGTCATCTTCAGTTAACTGATGTACCATTTGAATTGTGTATGGGTGATACTTATTCTTTTCCAAAAGTCTCCATACAGTAGAAGGACAGATCTCACATACATTCGCGATGGAGGATGTAGACTGTTGGTTACTTACTATGATCTCACCAATTATTTGAACTTGCTTTTCTTCCAGGATGGTCGGATGACCTGGTGGCTTTTTGTTTTTTTTAGATACAAGTTCCGTTAAATATTTTCTACAGATAGGACGATTCGGGAAACGATCATTAAAAATCCTTTCGATCTCGTAAAAGTTACGCGTCGCACCATAATCGCTTCGATTTTTTCTTCCAATGGACGAGAATTAACCAATTTGAAAACTAGTTCAAACAGTATCTAGCACTAAAAACGAAAACTGAATAAGAATACTTTAACTGTAAAATGATGTTTGTTTTCGTACTGATATACTAAGTGACATATAAATCCGAACACCCAGTTTAAATGGTTTTATTTTAATAAAAGTTGGTGAATGTATTTATCTTACTGTAAATAACAAGTGAAAAAATGTTCAGCCTTATTATATTTCGTCAACTTAGTGAGTTTGATAGGGGCCGTATAGTGGGACTTCGGGAAGCTGGACCTTCTTTTCGGGCAATTGCAGTTAGAGTGCAAAGAAGTGTAGACACTGTGGTTAAGTGTTGTCAGGCATGGCTTCGAGAAGGCCGTACGCAAAGAGCAAGGGGCACTGGACGCCGCCGTAGAACAACAGACCGTGAAGATCGCCGCCTAAGATTATTGGCCTTAAGGGACCGTTTCTCCACTACCAGGTCCATTGCAAATGAATGGTTTGCAGAACACGGACGACCTATTGGCATGCGAAGTGTTTACCGACGAATGAGAAGTTTTGGCTTGTTTTCATACCGGCCACACTGGGTCCTCCCTTTAACTCGAGAACACCGACGTAATCGCCTTGAGTGGTGCAGACAACGGTCACTCTGGGATCAGGAATGGAACAGTATTGTCTTTAGTGACGAGTCTCGATTTTGTTTATGCATGCACGATGGTCGAGCCAGGGTTAGAAGGCGACGTGGTGAAAGGAGGAATCCACAGTTTTTTGTTGAAAGACATGTTCATCACACTGTTGGAGTTATGGTTTGGGGTGCTATAGCTTGTGGTTCCAGGTCACCTTTAATCTTCATCAGAGGTAACATGAACGCGCAGCGTTATATCCACGAAGTTCTAGAACCCCATCTTTTACCCTATCTTGATACCCTGGCAGATCCAACTTTCTAACAAGATAATGCCCGAGAACATCTTGCAAGAGTCACAATAGACTTCTTTCAACATAATGATGTCACATTGTTACCATGGCCACCAAGATCTCCCGACTTATCTCCAATTGAGCACGTGTGGGATATGATGGGTAGGAGATTTGCAACGTCCTCCTCAGACTCTAGAAGCACTTCGAGAGGAGTTGGTGGTTGCCTGGAATGAGATACCACAGGAGGACATTGACCACCTGATCAGAAGCATGCCTAGGCGCGTTGGAGAATGCGTAGCATATCAGGGTGCATCCACACATTATTAAAGGTCAAAGGGCTTTAAAGCAGTGCAATCATTTTGAAATTTTTATCATTTACGTATTATGCTTCATTAAGTATTTATACAAAATTTTATTAAAATAAAACCATTCAAACTGGGTATTCGGATTTATATGTCACTTAGTATATTTTTGTCACTATCAACAAATAATAACAAAACAAGTTTTTATCGCTGTTGCTGTGGATACGACAGGGAATTACAATTATTTGTAATGATATGCATGTAAGTGGATTTGTGTTCACGTAATTATTAAATGCACCACCATTTTGTAGTAGGTAAAGGTATTGACTTTATATTCCAGGGTTATAAAGTACTCCCCAGGAGCTTCAAAATGATGTGCCACAAGCCCCCGTTTTCATCTACCGCCCAGCGGTCATCTTGACATTTTTATCTGTCAATTTTACTCTAACATATGGTATCCACGCATCAATTTCATTACCTGAGGTTTTAATTTTTGAATTTTCCGTTCAAAAAATCAAAGGCGAGGGGGACATTAAAGAAAAGCTCTGTATAAGTACGATGGAGAGCAGATGAATAATACTTTTTTGAAACTCCAGCTACCACGAAGGCCTAAGGCCTAAGCATATGCATGGGGTACCATGGGACTATAGTGGGATACATACAGGAGAAAAGAGGGGGACGTCACACGGACTCCAAGGACCACGTGTGCGTGAAGCATGCACGTATTCTGGCCTCGCCTACGAGATCCGCCGGGTGGTAAATCCACGTACGACAGTCAGAGACCATCTACTACCTACGCACAATCACAACTTCCTTAGCCAAGAGAAAAATTTCTCTTGGGACGGGATTCGAACCCTCACAGCGTACGGCGACTGCGGCCATCGGTGCTGCCTATGCTCCACTATAAAGAAATACTGCAAGCATTACGGCGGTGGGATGTTGCCAAGGGGTGGCTTCCAGCAAAATCGGCTGAAAAACAGCTACGATGCCTTCCCACGCTGAGGGTTGGAATACTATAAGAACATGGATGAGTAGCACTCAAACCAGAACAACTAAACGTGAGGTACAAAATAAAAGGGTACTACTCCATAAACTGGTGTTTGGTAGTCTTATGACCCCACCGCAATCTCAGCAGGAATTGACTGGCCCGAAACACCTAACTTTATGAAAGAAGGTTTAACGAGTGGCCTTAAAGAAGATATCTTCGATAGAAAACCAAATAACGGAGAAAAACGACAGCGTGTTTTGCTGATTGCCAATGCGCCCTTAAAAAGAGTTTGTTCTAGGAATCGACACTCTACCATTAACAAAGAGAAATCAAATTACTGGTAAGTGATCAAAATAGTAAAAAAAAGGTTACGAGATTTTGGCACGTTACAATGTGTCTCGAACGACTAAGGTGTTTTGGAGGGTATGGAGAATCTCACTCTTCAGGCATTAAAGGTTGATAGGGCAGTACTAACGAGCTATTCTCTCTGAGAGTGGTTACAAATGCTTAAAGATACATGGTTTACCCATGCCAAGGCAACCATATCAATTTTAATAAAAAAAATTGGGTCACCACATGAACAGGCTAGGCATGGCGGAGGGCGTTGGATGCAGACAGTGCATGGAGCGAGATTAATCGGTTAAGCATGATTTGTACAGATGCCTTACAATTCCCAGAGTCAGGTACCACTTGGAGTTAGTAGAAGACTTGAAAGATATTTCTTCAAATAAACCGATGGACTTTCTTTAGAGGTTGGAGTCGCGGTGGAGGACGGTGTTTGATCCATTCTCAGAAAACTTAACCTTGATAAACCACTCCCGCTATTTTTTGTGATCTATGCATGTATTGTATTTCACTTTTACTCCCTTACCAACGCCCATGCACTGGACACTAATAACATTTGATCACGACATGGAGATATGCGATGTTTTTAAACCGTTTATACCTAGCGACCCTCAGCGCTAATATTTTTATAAGTCGTCAACATGTCCGTATTTACGTTTTTACGACATGTTATGTTTATTTTCCAGAATTGGTTCTAACATTTCAATAAATGGAAAATTCCTCGGGAAATCCCTTGTTTACCCCAAATGTTCCTTCATGTTGGACGTTTTCAAACACTTTGAGCTTCTTCAACCATGTTTCTTGGTGAATTGATCCTATCAGAAGAATTATTTTCTGTGCTACAACCTGTTTTAGTTGTGTCCAGGTGGTTAGGAATATTTCCTGTAAGTTACAAAAGATTTGGGAATTTCTACAAGCTCCGATGGTCAACCTGGTATGCCATCTACAGCTACATTCTATCTTTGTCCTTAAGTAAGTAGATCAGCATTCTATATTGGGCAAGGGAATTAAAAAATCATAAAGAACAAGTTAGGTATACGACTATCATGCGATATAAATTTTGATAAATCGGTGAAATTTGAGTTACACATCATTCTTAAGGCATTGGAACATCCCCTTTTTCAACAGTTTCAATAAGAGTAATAAAGCATTATATTTAACTGCACGAGCATCCATATAGGGATATCAACAACTTACAAAAATGAGCCTACTTGCTGATTTTAGCAATAACGACATTGGTGAACCTTATCATAGATTTGGAAAAGGGCGAAAAACGTTCAATAAGGATGCCAAATCGAAAAACAAGATTTGTTACTTGTGTTGACATATCAATTGTTATTTTCATTGTCATGTTTGGAATTGCTACACTACCACTGAAAATCAAGAAAATATGGAAAACTATGAATTTCTTAAATGAGGTAAGTAGTATGGTTTTAACTTAAGAGATACGTACAAAAAGACAGAACTTTGCATGCTAGGATAATTTGGGATACTGAAATGAATATGGCCGTTGGATACAAAAATTCATCCAGGAGACGGATTTGGAGCGAGACTGACCACTTTTGTCACTAGGGATGATATCTAGATATTTAGTTGCTTTAAGTATGGTTCATATGACCAGTTCCATACGTATCTTATGTCGCTGAATATATCTTTTATCATGTACATCCTACTATCCAGTGGAAAATATCTGAAACTTAATTTTCCCCAGCGGTAGTTACATGTAATCGAAACTTAGCATTTAAAGGTAACCTGGGTCGCTGAATTCGTATATGATGAAATAAAAAATATTAAAAAGAATCGCTGGACAAAACTTGGGTAGAGAATCAGACTCAAATGATAATTTACATTTAACATAACAATGTAATGAGCACCATTGCCTGTTATGCATGACCCATATTCCGTTATAAAACATATTTTAACCGATAAAAAATAACCGCTCGAACGATCGAGGTTGCCTCAATTTTGGAACTCAATTCTGTTCTTGTGGCCAGCACCGCGAGGGATACAGATCCTCTAAAACAACCCTAATAAGAAAGTTAGTGGATTTAGGTCCAACTATCTTGGTGGCGATGAAATAAGGCCTGATCCAGCTTTATGAATCTTGCATTTTTATAAACAATTGAAGTGGTCTCGAGCTGAGTGTGATTTGCCGGAGTATGACTGAGTATTGGAATGTTGCAGCAAATCTTAATCAGAATATTTTGATTGGCAACCTGAGAAACTCGAATGAATGCTAGAAGAAGCAGATTTGATACCCTGTTCCTATGTTTTGTAGTTTTTAAAAATCAGTATCTGTGCTGTGCCTCTAGTTATTTGTATTTTGAGTTTTTTAGTTATCAGTTTTCTAGTTTTTGTGCCTCAGGAGTTAGTTATTTCATTTTTCCCGGATACAAGTACACGCTTAGCGAGTACGCATCTCATTTACGGGAAATCGCTACAGAGGCTGCTGAACTATATCAAGCAGTACTATTCCATTAACTGAAAAATACATTTTCTGTTCTTAAAGATATCTCAATCGATATTCGAGCACTTACAGTGTTTTCTTTTACATTTATCGAGCGTGATTAGAAGGCAGGTTACCGAGAATAGGTATTGGGAGTAGAAGACGTCACAATGGCAGACCTCAGGTGGTTGTCGAAGAGGAGATATCCGTATAGTTTTATACTGAAGTCTGAGGTTTTTATTAAGAGCCATAGTAACGTCTGTAAGTATACTGAATGTGGATTAGGCTGCGTAGCCTTATTTCATTGTCACCAAGATTGTGGACCTAAATCCACAATTTTTTTAGAAAATTTGTATATCAAGCTGTGCTGCTGACCACAATAAGAGAATTGAGTTCCAAAATTGAGGCATTCCCGAGCATTCGAGTGGCTATTCCTTGTTAATTGAAAAAATGTATAATGACAAAATGTAGGTCATGCATAGAAGTGCTCATTACATTGACATAAATCCTGTTAATTTTTTTGTACCCAAACCCTAAATGGTTACTTTCTAATATCTACGAAAACTGGCCCTCCTTCATTATAACTGCAATAAAACGATAATAACAGCAGAGCGAGAATAACGATACTATTCAAAAATTTCCTATGGTTCGCGAACTTTTTGGAAAAATTTTAACAGTGATCGTACTTGATACTCTCACTCTACAGGATGTCAAAGTTAAACGTGAAAAGGAGCTGTACTAATACTTCAGACTTTGACATGACTTATGTGGGTTTTTCGCCACCTTAAGGAAAAATAATGCTGAACGAGAAAAATGTTTAGGTCTGAGTGTTGTAAAATTAAGCTGGATCAAAAAAGTTGATTTTTGTAGAAATGGCACGGGATTAACTGAATGTAAGGCAGTTTTCAAAGACCAATAAAATGCAGAAAATCTCGAAAACTATAAGATTTTTAATAAAACAAAATCTTACAGTCTAGTAGGCCAAGACATGGCCTATCTACAGTTGCAGGATTATCCTTTAATTTCGTGACACCTTGTATATACTTCCTCAATGGATGTTAGCAACCACAATGGCTCATCTTATTCTGTTAACAGCTGTTGATGGACCTGTTAAGCCGGAGTATGCATCGGCGTCCTGGTTCCCTATCCCATTCTATCTTACCTTGTGATATGAGTTGTATTTATCGCCGTTCCTCATTATGTATCAAAAGCACTTTATTATACCGAGTCTCAAATAGCGATTTAAGGTGAAGTCAGAAAGAAACTTTTACATTTTCTGGATGGTACCTATCGCTTTTTTGGTACATTTGATTTTATTTGAGTGTATTCATATGTCTGTGATCTTATATATTAAGGGAATTTAAATGTTTCAGACGGACAAAATCCTTCTGCTGAAGAACTCGGACAGGTTCCGGAAATCGTCGATATACTTCATTGTCTTAGTATTCGCCCTAACCCTGATAATTTTTATTTACGACGTGTCATCTTGGTTAGTGGTCCTAAGACAGCAATCAAAGAACCCCCTGGAGTACCTTCGGGCTTATTTCTGCTTCTACTGCCTATATATTGTTATGCTAGCCAAGGAGATGCTCTACTGGCATATTATATTTTTCATAAAAATCAAAATTTCTACTTTGAATGCCAGACTAAGGGAGCTGAAGAAAGTGGGCTCTTATAAAGAGCGGATGAAGTTTAAAGCTGATCCCAATGGTCTCGAAAGATGGGCTTACTTGAACAAAGGCGTCCACAAAGTCAACGGCATATCGCCTGACTCAGTGTGTACGACTGGAATATCTCTAAGCTTAGGTAATGTAAAATATAGACGAATTTTAGATAGGGTGCGACCGAAGTTTTGGCATGGCCACATTAACCTAAAAGATACACATTAGGCCTTCGACTGAAAAAAAGGAAGAAGGGTTGATCCAAGGTCAACGGTTTTTAAAATCTGTATTCACACAAGAACGAATTTAGGAACAGTTTAAACTGTTTCGGAATATGTACCAATATAAGCTCTTAGTCCATTTTTATTTGTTGAAACCGATACTCTGAAATATCTTTTAACTTCATTAGTCTAATCATAGACGAAAATACCCCTGGTTTGCAAGATAATCCTAAAGTCTGGTTTTATTGATGCGAGTTGTTCAAGGCGGTATTTAAAACATGGACGCATAAAATGGGAACACCATTTTTTGTGGGAAAACTTTTTATTCGACAACAAAGAATGAAAAAACCTGTTTTTTGAGATTCAATCGAAAGTGCTGGCAGGAACGAAAAACTCTTCATAACAGATTTTTAAGTATTAACGAGACCTACAGAATGAGATCACACGTAAAAAAATCCCACTAATAGTAAAAAAGTTATGGCCGAAAACCGAGGCAAAATGCAGGTTTCGGCACTTGTTGCTAATGCGACGGTAATTTCACGCAGCTACTTGAATTTCTTCAAATTCATAGGCTTCATACTTCTAAAGAATCGCAACAAAATTAGAGAGGATTGGTCAAGTAGTTTTTGAGAATTTCTTATTGTTTGTCCCAAAACATCTGTCTTCCGGCCATCACTACTAGTTTATTGAGCAGTATACAGAGTTCGTCCAAAGGGCATTTTATAACAAAATTCACGAGCTTACCTTGCCGACAAGAATATAAGATAATTGTTATCTTTGTCTTAATTTACTATGCGATGTTGGTACGCTACTTTTTGGTTTTGAACTGTATAAATCTGATGTTTCATTAGTAGCTCTGTATAGCTGTGTTTGAATTCCTATTGCAAATGAAGCTGTCCTTTTATTGTGCCTTCTTCAATAACAGTCTTCTAATTGAATTTTGATCCTTGAAATCTTTTTCAAGGTCGCCTTGATGACAATTTTTACATAGCTATATTACAAAATGATTATTGCAGATCATGTGCATAGGGGCAAAGAGACATGGAAATTGTTAATTTGAAGGGTGGTTTAGTTAAAATCATGAAAACGTAAATGTCAGTATCCGGGGTTTTGCGTTTTTTCTGAAAATGGTTTGAGTTTTAAGATCTTTTAGGCGCACCACCTTAATATATGTACATATATGTACATATATGTACATATATGTTAATGTAACACAAAAATGACTGAGATCTCTTACCATTTTCGAGATCTCAACGCATATTGGTTACCAGAAGTATTTCATTTTCCATTCTGTCGCATTTCTGAATAACTGGAAATTCAGCTTCAGTTTCGGCCGCACATCGGCTTCAGCTTCGGTCAAACTAGTGATCTTCGGTCGTACCCTACTTGCCGATATTGCATTGAATAATATATTCCATCAGATGATACCCAATTAATTAAATTGGAAGCATACGCACCGTAATGCCACTAAGCGCTTATGCATACATATACCTGTCGACCATCGTCTTTAGGTGACACCTCTCGGACTGTTCCAGCAGGTTATGGGACTTTTTTCGTCGTCATTGAGAAACTGATATATGAATTCCGGAATCCCTGAAATAATTGCGTCGGGGTGACCAAGTTGATGTCAAGTTTAAGAATAAACAAATTTTCTTTAAAAGGAAAATGAAGTCTGCTTGCATCACTTTAAAGGCAGTCCTGAGATCCTACTCGCCAACCTGGTTTTGACGATAAAAGTTGTAAGTGATTTACCAAATCCAGCATAGGAATTTGAAAAAAGTATGGAAGAGATCCGTCTCGGATGAGGGTATCGGTGATTGAAAATTGAAAAGCGTTGGAAACTGGATATTAAGGAGGGGTTTGGATCATCAGAGCACCTCCTTGATCCGCCATTGGGTTGGGCATCTTGGAAAATACGTTAACAAACATTAGAAGCAAAATAATTCAATTATTGGTGAATGCGCATTCATAGAATTATCCGTTAATATGAAGTAGGCGGCTCATCCAACATATTTTTAAATGTGCTGCGAGTTTTTCATCAAAATTATTGCAATGTTTCCAGACCAAGAAATAACTACACTAGCGAGGTACCAAGATCACATTTTTCAAGCTGTAGAAGTTATAAACGATACAACAGAATACGGTATACATGTACGTATCACGATTATCTAGATACAGTGGTCGCCAACCCGTCGATCGCGAGCTACGGGTAGCTCGCAAAGGTATTTCTAGTGGCTCACAACATATTTAAAAAAATTGTAAAAGTCATAGAAGCTTCCGAAAATTTTGTAAATTCTCATAATAAAATACAAGCAGTGACGACACTGCGGTGAGCGATCTGTTCGAGAACGATCTCGATTACTTTGAACGGAATAAATACGCAAGGCGCGGCGACAGTGAGCTCAGTTCAAAACTGAACGGGCCAAAGTCCAGCGGTTGGGTCAATGTTGGCCTGCAATTAAAAACATTAAGACGATGAAGACATACCATTTTCATTCGGAATGGAAAGAACAATATTTCTTTACAAAAACTAAATGCAAAAATGTATGTTTGTTATGTAATACATCTGCTTCCGTTGCTAAAAAAGGGAATATCGAGATTCACTATAAAACTGTACATTCGAATTTTGAAGAATCATTCCCATTACGTTCTTCGACCAGAACGGAAAAACCTGAAACAATTAAAAAATCAGTTAATTCGACAACAGACAATTTTTTTAAAAACAATCGACTATAGTAAGGCTGCAACTGAAGCATCGTACCGGGTGCCCCAGATAATTGCACAAATGAAGAAACCTTATGAAGACGAGGAAATGATAAAACAGGAGTTTCTAGAAGCTGCAGATTCATTATTTGCCATTTTTAGAAACAAGGACGAGATAGTGTCTGCTATAAAATCTATGCAACTTTGTGCTAATACAGTGATGATACGAGTAGAAGTAATGAGCAACGATATAGTTTCACAGTTAAGAAATGACATCCATAACTGTGCTTATTTTAGGTCTGTGCCTTTGCTTGACCCTTATGAGACTACTACCCTTGTTTACCAGCCCCTGTCAGGTGCTCCGTCCTTCTCTAGCGGTCGCGAATCAATCTCCCCTCTCTGTCCCGCTCAGAGCCTGGTCGCGACCGCCCGTCAGCGCCGGCAAGCCCGCTTGCGCTTCAGTACGTTGTTGTTTACCATCGCGTCAGGTGCGTTCGGTAAAGTTTGTATACGTATTCGTACAAAACTGGATATACAGTGCATGTTAATTGTGCAATGGATAGTGATAGCGAGGTATGTAGATTTTTCAAAGAGTGATTTTCTCTAATTTTAGTATGTTGACATTCCCTTTATTGCATGCAAGTGATTCGAGCACCCTGCGTCTCAATCACGTATTTACTGGTATATAACTTATCTGATCGAGCACTCTTACGTCTCATCAGTCTTTACCAGTCATGCTCTAAGTATTTCTTGGCGTACGTCCCAGAATTTGAACGTTCACGGCTCAGTGAATGGGCCTCCAAGGCTCAGAAGTTGAACCTTCGCGGTTCGGAACTTGAGCCTTACGGATAGGTAATTGAGCCCTACGGCTCGCACCCGAGCCTTACGGCTCGCCCTTTGAGCCTGACGGCTCGCCATTTGAGCCTTACGGCTCGCCCTTTGAGCCTTACGGCTCGCCCTTTGAGCCTGACGGCTCGCCATTTGAGCCTTACGGTTCACACTTGAGTCTTACGGTTCACATTTGAGCCTTACGGCACACCAAGCGAGGCTTGATAAATCAGCCACTAGCTATTTATCTCTGCTTTTGTATATCTGTATTAAGATGTTCACTGGGCCTTTTCATTGCAGATGGCTGCCCATATTCTTTTGCTTCATTGGGGGAGCTGTATGATGAACCGTCCGAAGACGAAGTCCTAGCAAGACTAAAGATTGCTGCAGCTGGTTTCCTGCCGGAGGGCTGGAAGGATTGGAGAGTCCGGAAGGATCATGTAGTTCATATGGAGCCTTCGGTTCTTAACAAAATGCGTTTCTGCTTATCTGCGCTGGAAATTGCAAAAGCCTTCAACCCAGATGCAAAATGCCTCAAGGAGAGACCTTACAGGGACATGAAAGTGAAAATGATGTCATGGCCGTTCTGTGTGGGCCTCATCTTAGGACCTCCATCTCTGGCTCTGCAAGTGAGAGGTTCTGCTTTGCACTGTGAGCTGGTTACTCAGTCGGTGAAGAACTTGAGGGGGCTGTTGATGACTAGGAAAGAGGCGTCGAAACTTCTTGGAGATGGCTCTGAGACGGATGAGTCTGAAAGCTGTTCCCAGTCGACCTCGAAGCAACGCGTTACTACTACCAGCAGGTTAAAGTGCCTTGAAGCAGAGTCTGCCGCGACTAGATCATTGCTGCAAGAAATCTTGAGCCGCCTGGATCGAAAAGGGAACGACACTGGGGACTCTGACTTGGAGGAAGACCAGGCAGAAGAATTCATGGAGGAAGTGGAGAGTGAGAGAGAATCGGATGCGGGGTCAACTCCGTGGAGAGCCCCAGAGGTGGTTTCTACAGTTAGCAAACGGACGGTAGTAGACTTTACGCCTCAGACAAAGGAGCAGGAGCCGACTGTCCCTCAACCCGCTCCAGACATACGGATTCAAGGCCTGAGTTGCCAGCGATTGGGAGAGTCGTCATGGAATCGCATTAGGTATGCGGATGTGCAAAAGCGCTTACATGCATCTCCTGTATTTGGTGCGCTGTGCTTGAACACGCAGCTGCGACACTTAGCCAAGGACAGCTTTGCGTCTGACTTTTTAGAAAAAACGGAGGGGTCCTATGGGACCGTGTGTCACGGTTTACTATTACAGCGAGCGGCATTCCAAAAGGCAATCAATATGATTATTGACGCCTGCCCATCGTCAGCGGACCTGATAGAGTCGGAGCTTATTGGGCCGGGATGCCTCTTTCGCCAACATTCGGATAATCTTTTGCAGTTCATATGTGGCAAGCGAGCGGAAGCGATAGAGTTGAGACGGAGCCAACTAGCTCCACTGAACACAAACGTTGCTATGGTATTATCGAAGATTCCTCCTTCCGAATCTCATCTCTTTGACGAGAATAAAATTGAGGATCTGTTAAAGTCACAAGCAGGAAGCCTGAGGCCGACATTTAAGAGGAAAATTCCTTTCGCGAAACAAGACGGAGTGGCCAGTAAACAGGCCCGTAAGCCCGAGAGGAGATCCCAAAAAAGCCAAAACTTGAGACAGGAAAACCGATCTTCACGGAAGACATCCACTTTTCGGGCCAAGCAGGACAGAACTTCGAAGAGCCATGGTAAACCGACGCGGCGCTTTTGACACATTGAAAGTTGCAAGGTGTCGGGGAGATTGGAAAGCAGGTCAACTGAGGGATTTCGCCCAAAACTGGATCATGGCAGGAGCACCAAAATCGTTAATAAAAATGATAGCAGGGTACGCAATTCCGTTTTGCAAGAAACCTCCCTCAATCCCATTTTCCACAGCCAGTGTCCAAAGACTGCAAACCTCAGTCGATGCGAAGATGTATCGAGAAATTTCGAATATGTTGGCAACCGGAGTTCTACAGGAGGTCCCGAGCTCAGTGAAATCCGGGTTCCTTTCAAGAATGTTCTTGGTCCCAAAAGCAGACGGCTCCAATCGCCCCATTTTCGACCTCAGAAGATTAAACGCCTTCCTGAGCCCAAAAAGATTTCATTTAATAAGCCATCACCGGGTTCCAGAGTTTTTACAAAGATACGACTACATGGTCAAGCTTGACCTATCGCAGGCATATTTTCATATACCTGTCAAGAAGAGTCACCAACGGTATCTAGCCCTATCATTTCAGGGGAAGGTATATACCATGACGTGCTTGCCCTTCGGACTAGCAACCGCGCCCCTTACATTTGCAAGAGTGTCAAATTGGATAGCAAGCCAGCTAAGGAAAAAGAATGTAAGAATCATCGTTTATTTGGACGATTTTTTGATAGCCGGTCAAACCGTGGAAGAGGTGAGACACGACATGCACCTAGCCGTGGCCTTCCTAAGAAACCTAGGATGGAAGATCAACTATTCAAAGTCAATCTTAGAGCCCACTCGAGTGATAGAGTTTCTTGGGCTAGGCTGGGACACGGGGAGGAACCGCAAATTCGTCCCGCAGAGAAAAGTTGACCGAATCAGAAAAGAACTCCGGAAGCGAATCGACTCAGGGCTCTGGAATTGGAGACAGGCGAAGTCGATTCTTGGAAAATTAAACTTCGTAGGATTTGCAATACCTCTGGGACGGTTGCATTGTCGGCGCATCCAGATAGCCAGCAAAAGACTCCCAGAATTCGAACCAAAGACATCATATCGTATCCCGCAAGAGGTGATTCAGCAGCTTCATTGGTGGCTAGAGAATTTGGAACAGACGTCAGAACTTTTCACACCTCCGATAACAGTATTCCTGTCGACCGATGCGTCGGACGTTGGTTGGGGTGCTCATCTGCTAGACAAAACAATCAAGGGTACTTGGACGGCCAAACAAACGTTATGGCACAAAAACAAAAAGGAGTTGTTTGCCGTTTTCCGTGCATTGAGGAGGTACAGGGCGATTCTGAGGCACAAAACCGTATTGATACAGTCCGACAGCCAGACGGTTGTTGCTTATATAAGAAACGAGGGAGGCACCAAATCCAGAACCCTTCTCAGAATGACGGAACAGCTACTGTTGTTTGCAAGGAGCTACCAGATCCAGATATCAGTAAGGTACATCCCGGGGGTTTACAACAGTATTGCCGATCACCTGTCTCGGCAGAAGGCGGTGCCAGACTGGCACCTGTCAGAGACTGCCATTCGTCCAATTTTCAATAACCCTAACCCAAAAGAGGTCGCATTGTTTCTTAGTTTTTTACACAAGGCTAAGCAACTCTCATATAATACTATCCTCTTAAATAAATCGATAGTGACCACATTCGCCGATCCATCCCACGCTGAGGCTATAAATAGGCACCCTGTGGTGAAACATATGCTCAAGGCTATCAGCCTTTCTAAGGTGACTAATCGCAGAATCAGTATTTGGAACACTAATGATTTAATAGCCTGGTTAAAATCCAATCCCCCCGATCTGGACAGTATGTTCCAGGTTTCACGGCATCTCGCCATTTTACTTCTCGTATCCACGATTTAACCCTGCTAGCCATTAGTGGCTCCTATTTCCAGGATTTTGGCTCATGGATGGTTTTCTGGCCTAAGTTCGGTTCTAAGACGGACAGGTCTTCGTACAGGCAATCGGGATGGAAGATCTCAGAGAATGATGATAAATCGGTGGATATAATCAAGTGGATACGAATTTTGATATCTCTTTCCGAGGAAAGGCGACATGGCGCGCCGGATTTGGATAGTCTGTTCATATCATCTAGGGGAAAGGTGCGGCCAGCTTCAAAAGCTGTGATTGCAGGATGGGTTAAAACCGCCCTAAAGCAGATTGGTGTTGATACAGGACCAGGTAGCATTCGTTCAGCGGTTGGGTCAGATCGCTTTAGTGTGAATATGCCATTGGACGAGATTCTGAAGAAGGGAAACTGGCAGAGTGATAAAAACTTTTTCAAGTACTATTGTAAGCTAGTCGAGCCAGGAGGATCTACCGATCGTAAGGGAAATACTCCCTCGGAACATTTTGATGTTGTTTAGCCATCATTTTTGTTTTTGTTTGTTGTTTTTTTCAATAAGAATGTCACCATTTATGTTCGTTGCTACAATATAAACCTTTATGTTCTACCGACTTGGGGTTTTTTCCTCCTATCACAGTACGCTCTTAGCGCCGGCAGACTACAAACACGTCTCATAAGGGTCAAGCAAAGGCACAGACCTAAAATATACATGTTTTTCCCCCGAAGGGTAAAAAACATTTATTTTGGGTCTTGCCGAAGCTTGACCCTAAAATTTTTATACCTAGCCGGCTTAAAAAAGACACGTACTGAAGCGCAAGCGGGCTTGCCGGCGCTGACGGGCGGTCGCGACCAGGCTCTGAGCGGGACAGAGAGGGGAGATTGATTCGCGACCGCTAGAGAAGGACGGAGCACCTGACAGGGGCTGGTAAACAAGGGTAGTAGTCTCATAAGGGTCAAGCTTCGGCAAGACCCAAAATAAATGTTTTTTACCCTTCGGGGGAAAAACATGTATATTTTTCACTGCAGCTTAAATATTTATTTTAATTATATTATTTAAAATTAACCTTTAATTTATTAAAGCTACATTTTCTACAGAATGCCGTTCACACCTCTCAGATGGCCGTGTTCGGCAGGATGGTTTTTAGTGATTTTACTACTGTGCAGGACCTGTTTCTGCTTTTAAAAACATTATTTCTTCTGAGAAAGTTCCAATATTGAAAATCGTAGTCTTGACAATCGATGACGCTTCAGTTTTGGTGGGTCGTGATAAGGGTCTCGTGAGTTTATGTCGTAAAGATGAAAGTTTTCCGCAATTTCTCTGTTACCACTGCATTATCCGTCAGCAAGCATTATGTAGATAATTTCTAAAACTAAACAATGTTATGAAATTGGTAGTAAAGACTGTGAACAAGATTGGAGCTCAAGCGTTACAAAGAAGATTATTCAAAACCTTAGCCGATGAAATTGACTGTCAATACGGGGAACTACTTCTTCACTGTGAAGTCCGAAAGTAGGAGATGAGTGCTGAAATTATAATATATCTGCCATAGTTCAATTTTTGAAACAGCGTGATGAAAAAAATCCGTAACTGGAAAATACAATCTGGTTTAGAGATTTTGGTTTTCTTGTGGATATTACAGAAAAATTAAATGAACTTAATTTGCAGCTTCAGGAGAGAGACAAAGAACTAGCAGAAATAATTTCTGATATAAAAGCGCTTATCAAAAAGCTTGAGGTTTGGGAACAAGGCTTAATCGATGGCGATACCAGGCTTTTTCATGTTCTTTTAGAAAAAGATATCTCCATTAGAACCATGTAACAGTAAATATTATATAAAAATGGTGTCTAACTTGAAGGATAACTAAAAAAATCGTCTCAAGGATTTCAAATAAATTGCTATAGTGGCGCAATTTGTTGTTACTCAGTTTGTTACGCAGAATTTTAGCGAAGACATCGCTACGATAGAAATGGAAGTAAGTCTGAATGTCAGGCTTCTTATGAAACACGCACTTTTTATCTGGACATGTTTTTGTTTAAGATAGTGCGTTGCATATTTTATTTTTATTTACCTTTATTAAATCGTATGTGACATGCCCTTGTAGCTGACGAAAAATGTTGTTTTTTTTTCAAACATCTACGATTGGTAGTTTATTTAAATTTATTACTAGGTATTAGTATTAGTAAAATAATCTTATGTATATCGCATACAACTGTGTATAATCTCGTTTAAGTTGACTTACATTGCTTACGACTAGGTATGTTTTTTATACTATCACGAAGGCCTAAGGCCTAAACACCCATTGGGTACCGTGGAGCTTACTGTTTATCCCAAAATTATCAAAGTAGCTCAACACACTGAAAAGGTTGGCGACCACTGATCTAGAAGAATAAACTGCCTATTATAACGAAAATACGTACTGTCTCGTAGACAGTGACAACGTTTACATCATAGGCAGCCAAGCGCTTATATGGCACATAGCCACAGTATAAACGGCCACAGAATGACATTTATGCTCTGTGGCTATCTACGATGTAAACGAGCTATTTTCGATTTTCGAATTTATAGTGATTTCTGTCGATTCCAGTTCATCATGCTGAGCTGTCTGCTTCACCTAATTATAACACCATACTTTCTTATCATTGAAATATTCGCAAAGGGCAAGCTGATTTTCATCATACTGCAGACCATTTGGGTACTAGGTCACCTGGGTCGAGTACTTATAATTGTGGAGCCTTGCCAACTATGCATAAATGAGGTAGCATATACAAAACTAGTAAAATAATGACAAGATCAGTAAAACTGTTGGTTTTTATAGCATCGCAAGACAGCCAACTTGATTTGTGATCTCATGACGAATGATCTCAAGGAACATATCGAGAAAGCTGTAAGTACTTACCGATGATCGCAATTCACTCGGTAAAAATTGAAAATAATGGGCAGTCCTAAATAAGTTTAAATAAGACAATATAGTGCCCACGTAGTGTCAATCTTTTTTATCAACTTTAACAGCAATGCAGCCTAGTCAGCAGTAAGGGCTTTCATATAAGAAATAAGGTTTTGATGCCCGTTGGCTTCTGCTAGGTCTAATCGGTGGCGTAGCTACCTTGAGTGGTACCTGATGCGGAACTTGGTGGTGTCGCCCCATCGAAAGTCAAAAGCAATAAATTTCATATGAATTATAAACGTCAAGGATCATTCAATATTTATATTTAACATATTGGACAAATGACAAAATACAATAAAAACTCAGACAGAAAAATATTTTTATCTCACAATTAAAATCCCGTCTTTCTAGCTTTGACAGCAAACTCAGAAATAACTCCATCAAAAATTATATTTTGTATTGCCTCCTGCTCGATGGCTGATATGCCAAGATTTCCAAGCCGCGATTGGGTCACTGTTTCCGGCAAATAGATTTTTATCACTTTTAGTTTACTGAAACTCTTTTCTCATGAAGCTACGGATACTCAAACCGTCATGAACACTAAATTTTACAAAATCAAGAGATATCCTATCAGAAGCTATAACATTAGCTGCTTTTAAATGTCTTCGCAATCTTGGTATCTCCAAAATTTTGTTTCTGAGACCTCATCATAAACATCAGTAAATTTGGATGTAGCTAATATCAGTTCTTCAGTATTCGCAGAAAGCAAAGTATTTCTTTGTACGATCTCGTAGAGACTCCAATCTTGTCTGGAGTTCAACTATGAATCGGCTCAGACAAATTATCTTTTTGAGTTCTTCGTTCAGTGTGAGTCCTGCATCACTGATCATCTCACGAAACACCCGTTTTTTATCGTAGTCTTCTGATTTGTTGTAGCATTGTATTGCCTCTGCCACAATGTGGCTCCGTTTTTCTTCGATATAATAACGAAGTGCTTCTATTTTTGTAGCAGTTTCCTCAACAGTTAATCCCTTACTTTGCAATGCAGTCTGTGCAATTTTTTATGTTTGTACATTGTTCGTAAAGTTGAGTCACCGGGTGGGTGTTACCCTCAAAAAAGTGACACCCGGTGCAGGCCAGCCCCGTCGCGACTGAGTCTACTGTTTATATTTACAAATCAATGTAACTTATTGGTTTGAAATTACATTAAAGTCTATGTGCTTTATTTTAGGTGATTCTTTTTTCATTGCAACAGAGCTACTGCAAACTGAAGTTTACGTCGTGTGGTTTTTTCACAATTAACAGATCTTTACTAACATCGGTAAGAAAACACTTTGGATTAGCCTATTTAAGTTTTAAGTAAAATGAGTGGGAAAAGGTCAATGCTTTTGATACCTCAATCGAGTTTACTTCAGCAGTTATGTGAGTCACACAAAATAAGAGTAGAATGATGATACAGACAAAAGAAACATTTTCCTCAAAGTATTGTCTTTATTTCTGAATTATTAAACGATTGTGTTATGTTCTGGAGAATTAGTGTTGTGTTTTGTTGTTGTATTTCAAACATTTTTGTTTCAGATTGCCGGAGCGGTTACTACATACCTCGTGATACTGATTCAGTTCAACAATACATAATGCCGCAGCAAGTTGAAACAGTACCTAAGCCTTTGACTACAGCCTTGTAAAATTAGTATTATTGTACTTAGAGATAGTATATGAACACACAAAATTTATAGAGATTTGTATAGAATTTTTTAAGCAAAAGTAGCTATTTTTAAGCAATATTTATTATCATGAACTGGAAATAAAGGTTGAGAATAAATATACATGTTTCAATATTCCATTACTAAGAGTCGACAGAATATGCGCTTCAAGAAGACAAAAAAAACGTGTTATTCCAATAGCAATAATAGATTCCATTTGGAGTGTATCGCGTGTCAACTTCAATCGTATGTGAAATACCAAAAATATATTTTTTCCTGATCCTAATCTCTACGTGTGGAGTAAGTGCGTTCGACAGAAATACCAATGTAAATACCACGTACGATTTATAAAAAATATATTCTGTGTTTCACCTAGGGGCAAAAGATAAACATTTTCTGGGGCTCAGATGCGGCCTAACGATTTTATTGTCTTTATAAGCATTGCAGAGCAGTTCACGGACCCTTAGGCATAGCTCTGTGTTGCTCGAGGATAGCTATGCCTTTGGCAATATCTACTGAAAGGAGATGGACAAACACGTAGATTACTTAGTTCGCAGTGCTCAGTAGGAAGTAATGCAAACCTAGTTACTTCATCGGACTGTTTGTCAGAATGACATATTCCGGCAATATGAGTCAAACTAACTACAATGTATCTATTGATTATGGCCTTAATGATGAATATATTTACTATAATAATCTTGATATGCACTTACAATACCGGCGAGCACAAAACCACGAAAAAAATATGTATGGGAATCCAGTTACTTTCATCCGCCTGTTTTGCGGTAAGTAACCAAATTTTCAACATATACAGCGCTTTAATGCAGAGCTATCCTAATTCCATTTTTGGCAACTTTACCTTTTACTTCTCATGCTAGTTGACGAAAACTAATCGCGAAATATTTCGAAAAAGGGATAATATATTTTTATGTTGTATGTCATGTACAGCACGAAGAACCATGTCACTCATTTACATCAGTCTGTCTTGGCCCCTCTATAAATGTCAAATTACTGTTTGGGGTTTGATGAAATTTGAACACAGGGTTATCATTAAGTCAAAGACGAAAACGCTTTGCAGTTTTGGAAAATCGTTCCTGTGCCACGGGGCTACGAACAAAAAACAAAAACGGAAATCGCTCTAGCCTTGTTTTCTATGACGTTTCAGAGACTCTTGCTAATTTTTGGAGCATTGTTTTGAACGGTAAAAACTGAGGTTGTTGGTTGAGTGAGGTGGGGGAGGACATATCTCAATTTTTTGGCGTTAGCATACTTACGCCCATTTAGCTCCGAAAATTCATAGATTGCGACGTTGTCACATGGGTGGAGACTAGGGACTGATTGTATGGGCCCGTTCGACTTACTTGGTCCATTTATTTTTTGTTCATACAAGTCCGTAGCTAACTTTTTCACAGCAACTTTTTGGAGATATTCTCACCTGGATGTCCGAAACTGAAGATATACGACAAACTATTTAGTAAGAAATATCTGAAGCACTTAAAAAAATTCATCATTTCAGTACTTATTGCTAGAGGTGGATTCATTCTTATCCACTTAGGGAGTGTCCCTACAGACAATATCTACAGAGTAATCTTCTATAACGTATTTCAAATTGCCAATTGCATCATATCGTATATCTCCTTTGGGTTGATGGCTTCTTTTGGAGATATCAGCTTTGGCGGATGGATCGGATATTCGGAATACATCAATTATGATATGGATCTTGCTGTTTTTGGTAAGGAAATGAAAAATATGCTAAGAAAATATAATGTCCAGTAAAAATGAATTTGAAATGAACTTTTATATATAGTAAAAAATAAGCGAAAGGAAACCGTGGTTAAATATTGTGCGGTTTGGCTAAATTCCTTTCTTGTTCCTAAAGGCAGTTTCATATTGCATCATAGCATTTTTCTATATCACAGCATTCCTGTAGAGGATTTTAATTCTAGCTAAAAACTTTCAGGCTTCTGTTGTTGTCTGATTGGTTCCGCTCAAATATCAACGTTTCTAACCGGAAGAGTTCATTTGGCAACTTCAATAATAGTGACCACCCTATATTGTATCATCATCCAGCCTCTTCTGATGCACTGGATATGGCATGATGAAGGTTGGATGAACAAAAGTATACTTCTGGAGAAAAGAGTGTCTGTGAAAGACTATGCTGGAGACTTGGTTGTTCACTTGTCGAGCAGCTTGATGGGGCTTATTGGTAAGTATATGCTATTCAAAGTCGGCAGGGGAGATATTACGTATCTTGAAAAGTGATATTGTCAGATTTTTTTATATTATGTATATTGATTTTTTGTGACATTATGTAGGTTTTACTATAAGATGTCAACTTGGAACTAGCTGTTCTTTACTTGATGTGCACTCGTTGTGTAGCTGTACATGTTGCCTTAGTGTTATGACGCTCAAGCCACCCACGGTTCGGCTCTGATGTGATGTAATATCTGCTTCAGAGATGGCATTATTGGAGGTCTAAGCTGTGAGTTATATGTTATAGCTAGAAGGAAACGGGCAGTGCTTAGTAAGGATTTGCGTGCTAATAATCCGTACTGCTGATAATTCCCTTAACTCCTCTCAAATATACTACTTGAAATTTATGCTTTACCCTGAAAATCGCATATGCTAATTTAAAAAAAAAGAATATGCCTGGTTGGTGGAGTCATTAAAACTTTATAGAAATTTATTTCGAAGTGTCAAGTAGAAAATACAAATCAGCGTCTGGATGTGAGGCACTGCGAAAATGTTCTTTTTGTGATTGCTAATTTTCCATGATGTGGCAGTTTCCTTTCTCTGTCACATCTTCTGAGAGATGTCCTTTACATACTATCCCAGCATTCTGCAACCAACTAAGCATGCGGGCGAACTGACTTGCAGCATTGTCGTTGAGCCATTCCGCCATAGGTGATACTACTGGTGACGCTCACAGGGCTCAAGAGCGAAATGAACTTTTTGTACACTACGAGCTATCTACTCAACAAGTTGACATTTTACTATTTTTTTGGACAATAAATAGGTTTCTTTGCGTAATCATCCTGCAGAGCAGGGACGAGGAGGGAATCATGTGGGTCATGACTATCCCTGGGAGAGATCGACCAGCCTCCGCCACCTCCCTCGTCCCGTTTTTCAATTATTAAAAAGGCAAACACTGATGCAGCACCCCCCACCTGTACAAATTTCAATATTTCAATCGCCGATGACCCCCGCTCTTCAATAGCCGCGACCTTCGTTGTGATTCTTTTGCAGCTGTCCGTCACTGTTACCGAGTGATTTTCCTGGCTCAAAGGCTGCATCTGGATTGCATCTTTTTAAGTCTCCGGGTTGAGGAAAAGCTATGGAGTGATATTTCTACCTACCAGCACAAAGTGTTGCAGCAATAACGAAACGACTACGTCAACATAGGTATACAGAGTGATTCACAATATCGTGACAGTCATTCTTGGGTAGAAAGTAGGTGGAAGAGTAACACGAAAAGTTTTCATAAGCGTGAGTCCCTCAGTGCCTTCTTACCGAGATACAAAGTATTGAAGCTACTAGAAGCACAGCAAATACATTAAAAGAATCATTACTGAGGTTTCACCAATGTTGTAGAATTTTTGAACATCCATTGCGTTTTCAAATCAGGTACCTACTCAATTTTACATGAACTATCTCTTTTGATAAGTTCTTGTCAGACTGCTTCTGTTGGAGAAAAATATGTTTCAGTATTGAGTTAAAAACCGAATAACCTGTTCTGCTTTGACAATAGTTTTAAACTAAAAATTGTATGCAGTTTGTTATGAAAGTAACCTTATCTCACCATAGCCTTATTTGAACAGTATTCGTGTTTTGTTAATTCTCGATGTCATCAGTGGCGTAGAAATTAAAACACCCTCTATATTGGCAGGGGGACTTCTTTATACTATTTTCGTTGTTTTTTGAAGTACTTTCTACTCTAGGTATAGTGCCACTCTGTTACAAAACATCCTGTATAGAATTTGGAGCTTCTGATGTACACTCATTGAAAAATAATTGGCACATTCACCATGATTCGACATGAAGACAGTTTATGCTTTGGTTGATGGATCCATCTTAAATACGGATCACCTCGTATTTTTAAATACGGATTTCTTGCTTTTTCGCTCCTTACGCGTGCAAAAGGATGAGAGGGTCTAGTTATAAGAGGAGATTTCGGCCTTGAAAATTAATTAAAATTTCAAGTTGATTGCATCTCTGTGAATATATTGCATTAAAATATTTTATATTGTATTTTAAACTTTCATCAACATTTCTCGTTATTTAAAAGCCGAGGGTTCGCAATGTTGGCATTTTTGGACCCCTCCTGAGAGCCCAGTTGCGCCTTGAAGGTTGCATATTTAGCATAATTTTGTGTACAACTCTGGAAAAATTTGTTATCCCCGCTCTCCAGAAGGCGTTGGGGGCAGGCGTACAATTTCACAAAAAGTTACCTTTTGTCGATGATCGTCCCTCTTGAGAGTAATTCCTGTGGGCATCCATTTTTTTGTCCAAATAAATTTACCCGAAAGTTGGAATAAGTATTTAATTTAGCATTTTCTACATGCCAAATGCAAAAATTTAGTGATCATTTGTGTTTTAAAATCAAGTACTAAAATAAAAAATTCCTGTAGAGGGTTTATAATACATCCTTCTAAGTTAATTGAATTGAAAATTTCATATATGCGATCGGATTTAAATTTGAGTTACTTTCTGTGCCGATTGCCTCGCTCATAGATACTCAATCCTTTCTATTTTCGTTTCTTGTGATAAGGCAAATTTGGAAAATCCCCAAAACTTTACACATATTCGTGCTAAGTATGCAAAATTTTTGGGGGCCACCCAGATTCTAGGCGGAGCCTACTGTATCCTTTCTTCACAATTTCCACTTATTAATGACTGCACAAAAATTTCATGTTTGAGAATAAAGTTCGATTTTTTGAAGTCGTTGGGCAATTTCAGTTGAATTATCTTGGAAAGCATGCAAAATAAAAAAAATCTCATGTGAAATAACATTTTTTGACATGTTACTTCTACATCAAAGCAGTACAAAGCTAGGATAAGTTTGGTGTGAGGTATCAGAAAAAACAAGCAATAGCGTGCATTTATTTATATTTGTACCAATCAGTAATACAAAAATAGAATCAGTCAGTACAATAACAAAATTATCAGTCACATATATCACAAACCACAAGAATTCATTGTCATAAAAAATTTGCTAAAACTATAGTTAGGTACAGTCTTTTAATTTTAAAAGGAATCACAAAAAATAAGGAATGTATTTCCTAGTGAGTATATAAATGTATTTGGTAGATGCTAAAAATTATAATTCATCACAAGATTACACTTTTGATATTTTTGTCATGATGAAAATGATTTTTGACACAGGCCTTGAAAGCTGGCCAGCCCTCGGAAGTTGTATATGTTTGAAAATGTCTTTTCTGTCTATCTTTCATAATTTTAATAAAATCTTTGCAATCCAACAGACCTTTGTCTGTCCCAAAAATAGCAAAAATAGTTTCAACCATATGCTTACTGAGATCAATCCCTGTGCAAACTTTAACAGCTCTATGAAACTCATTTTTATCAACTGCCTCTTCCAAAACCATGTACAAGTATATTGCATAACTAAAGTCATCAAGAAAACTCAAGAACTCACAAAAGTCTTTGAACTCTTTGAAAGATATGCCTACAGATTCTGGGATTCTGTCTAAAACATTGTCTAAATAAGTATCATACTCATCAACATCAAGGAAAGAGTATCTAAGAATAATTTTTGTGAATTCTACCTCTGATATGATGGGTAATCCTCTAGCAAATTCACTAAATTCTATCTCTAACAATTCCATTTGCAAATTACTCATAAACTTTCTAAAACTTTCATAGTCTAGGACTGACTGCTTATCCACTCCAAAAAAGTGTACTTTGAGTGTTGTGCCAACATCGTGTTTTCTTTGCAGCCCTTGTTCATCGTCAATATAATTATCTTCTTCTTTGTTTTTTAATAGACCTCTCTTTCCCTTCCACGTGTTGCTAAAAATCCTTTCAATGATCTGGAATTCATCCAAGTCCACTACTCCATTGCCATCCCTGTCAAAGGCATTGAATGCTATCTCAAATGCAGTTTGCGGTTTGTACAATATTGAAAGCAAGAAAAGGTACTCTACATATGAAATGATGCCTTCATAGTGCATACCTCTGAACATTTTTGTTGAGCCTTGCCTCAATGTGGGAGTCTTATCTCTTATCACAAGCATTTCAGCTTTTGTGAGAATCTTCCTCTGCATTCTAGGCCTTGGTTCCTCATGTATGACAGATTCTAAAAAATCTTGTGGTGTCATGTATAGCTGACCATCATACTGTGATGAAGCGAATTTTATAAAGCGTTTTTCCGATGAAGTTAGCTTAATTTCCGCCTCGGTTTTTTTTGCATATACGCTGGGAAATTGGACATTTCTGGCTGTTGCAAAATACCCTGTGGTAAGTGCAGTTGCACCCCCGATGAAACAGGCATAGAGTGGTGGTTTCGAGCGTCGCAAGTTTGAAAATAGTGTTCTAACATGTCTTTTATTAACAGCACTGAATAATTTTCTGACTAGGGCTCTCCCTGACATTATTAGAAAAATTATTGGTTTGACTGCAATATGTAAACAAAAAGTGGAAAAGTAAACAAAAATCTGTCAGTTTGGCGATTTTATGACAGAAGCATGACAACTCTGTTAGGCTGGAAATGACAGGAGAGATTCGATTCTAAAACAGCCAGTGTGCCAGTGTGAAAAGGGGGCGCGGTGAGAGCCTATTATAACTCGGGGTTAGATGTATCGCGCATTTCGCCCACTATATTCCTGCACGTTGCCAAGTTTCTAGAATTTCAGGAGGTATACTACAGTATACTGTAAATTAAATACGACCCTTGCTGACAAACAGTATCTGTTATGTCATTATGTATGTTTATATGGTTACGTAAAATAATGTTTATGATTTTTTGAATGACTTTAAGGTATCGCATTTCTGGGAAGACGATTGCTTAGGGTAAAAGACCTCGACGAGCGTTCAATTGGTGCTGGACAATCAGGCAGTACGATCATTGGTTACATATTGATAATCGCAGGACATATAGCGTTCAGTTTACCTACGCTAAAATATGAGAGTGAAAGAGCTCCTAATAATTATATGAACATTATTCTGGTCAATAATATCATTGCATTGGCCGCAGGTGAGAATTTTGTAATTTTATGCGCAGTATTTTGTTATTTACAGGGACTTTCTGGCCATTAGAAACCGTCGTAGTACTGTCCTTTTGTTACCCAAAATTTGAAGCAAGATTTTTATTACTGAGTTTCATCAGAACCAGGCACCTTAAAAATGAAAATCGACGATTTTGATATTCAATACTGGGTGTTGTTTCACTTCTTTTTAAATGCATCAGGCTGTCTCAACTCAACGCAAAAATAAAAATAGTAAATTTTGAAAATGGATACATCATAGATAACTCAAACCATAACGTTAACTTTGCCCCGCCCTGTATGATGGAGTTCAAGTGCCAAGTTTTTTTTTAGGTATTGGCTTGGTAAGCCTGTTTCACCTCTTCATCTTCCGTAAAGTCTTCAGCTACTGGATCGTTCTAAGATGCCTCCAAGGTGGTATAGCTGGCGTTATATCAATAGCAGCTGCAGTTGACGCATACTCCTGGATACAATGCGTCGCAGTTGCTGTTGTAGCTGCAGTTTTGTTCTTTTTCTTATCCATCCTCATCCATAACACTGCTTTGGAGGATTATTGTAACTCTACAGCGAGTGTGTTTGCTAGTTCGATCATAGGGTGTATGGCTCCGCCTATATTGCTTATGACTGAAAACTTTGGCGGTTAGTATACTAATAAAATTCACCGCGTTCACTCAAGACGTGCCAGGAGGCCTAAATTGCAACATATTTCACCCTTTACCGGGTGTTTCAAATTCGACACTCAATATTGCGATCTCAGAAACGGTAAGAGATTACGTTTAGGTAGCTAAGAAAATGGCATGTAGAAAGTTTCGCAATTCCCAGTAGTTGCGGAGATAGACGAAAGAAACTAATTTTTTCCAAAAGTTTTTACTTTTACCTGAATTTGTTATATATGCAAGATTGCATAATCAGTTATATATACTAAGTGACATATAAATCCGAACACCCAGTTTGAATGGTTTTATTTTAATAAAAGTTGGTGAATGTATTTATCTTACTGTAAATAAGAAGTAAAAAAATGTTCAGCCTTATCAGTTGGACATTCCGGTTTTTATACTGCTTTTTTTTAATTCACTAACGCTCAAAAAATGAATATTTCAGCCGCAGTAAAGAATCAACGTTGGCCGATTTTGGTTCTTGACATCCTTTACGATCGGTTACGATGCCTAGAGTACGGAGATCTGTACGATTTCGTCAACTTAGTGAGTTTGATAGGGGCCGTATAGTGGGACTTCGGGAAGCTGGACTTTCTTTTCGGGCAATTGCAGTTAGAGTGCAAAGAAATGTAGACACTGTGTTTAGGCGTTGTCAGGCATGGCTTCGAGAAGGCCGTACGCAAAGAGCAAGGGGCACTGGACGCCGCCGTAGAACAACAGACCGTGAAGATCGCCGCCTAAGATTATTGGCCTTAAGGGACCGTTTCTCCACTACCAGGTCCATTGCAAATGAATGGTTTGCAGAACACGGAAGACCTATTGGCATGCGAACAGTATTGTCTTTAGTGACGAGTCTCGATTTTGTTTAGGCATGCACGATGGTCGTGCCAGGGTTAGAAGGCGACGTGGTGAAAGGAGGAATCCACAGTTTTTTGTTGAAAGACATGTTCATCACACTGTTGGAGTTATGGTTTGGGGTGCTATAGCTTATGGTTCCAGGTCACCTTTAATCTGCATCAGAGGTAACATGAACGCGCAGCGTTATATCCACGAAGTTCTAGAACCCCATCTTTTACCCTATCTTGACACCCTGGCAGATCCAACTTTCCAACAAGATAATGTCCGACCACATGTTGCAAGAGTCACATTAGACTTCTTTCAACATAATGATGTCACATTGTTACCATGGCCACCAAGATCTCCCGACTTATCCCCAATTGAGCACGTGTGGGATATGATGGGTAGGAGATTGCTCAATTTGCAACGTCCTCCTCAGACTCTAGAAGCACTTCGAGAGGAGTTGGTGGTTGCCTGGAATGAGATACCACAGGAGGACATTGACCACCTGATGAGAAGCATGCCTAGGCGCGTTGGAGAATGCGTAGCACATCAGGGTGCATCCACACATTATTAAAGGTCAAAGGGCTTTAAAGCAGTGCAATCATTTTGAAGTTTTTATCATTTACTTAGTACTTATACAAAATTTTATTAAAATAAAACCATTTAAACTGGGTGTTCGGATTTATATGTCACTTAGTATATAAAGTCTCGTCTCTTGTCCTCGCTTATCAACTTTATTTTTCTTATAGGCGCCATATTGGAGTTTTCAAATTTTAGTTACTTGAAGCTTTATAATGCCAATCCACGTCATGATATGTACAGTATCACATTAAAATTGATAATAGGGACTGTTCACGTATGCCTAGTTCATAAAACTTGAAACAATGCTTGACTGATAATATTATGAAAGAAGTGACGTATTTAAGGCCTACTCAAAAAATTCTGTATTTCAAAATAAATAAGGTTTGACAATTTCGATGTACGACATACTATGTACACTTTTGAAACCAGAATTGGAAACTCTATTCACCTGAATGAAAATCCAGTGTGGCGTCTATAAGGAAAGATAAAGTTGATTGGGGGTAAGAGACGAAACCACATGTTCAAAGTTCTTGGGATTTTTTAGTTTTAGTGATATACGCTCGAAATCAGATATTTGAGTCTTAATAATAAAAGAACTACGTGATTTTATCAATTTTACTCCAATTCAGTGGTTACGATTTTAGAAAGTGCAAAAATACTATACACAACAGAAAAACAGCAATTCTGATGAATGAAACAGTTTTAGATTTCAACCATTTGGACACAGATGCGTATAGCTCTAAAAATTGCTTAGGATACAAAATACTAGAAAAACTTGCTTTCCAAAACGGTATTAAACATCGGTATAAGATAACTTAGTTCTTAACAAATAGTCGATCAAACCAATATAGGTTTACAGCAATTGTACCCAATATACTAGCAATTCTTTCAGCTAGACACAATATTGCTCTAAGGAGAAAAATATTTTATTTTTGATAGTTCCCAGGAGACTCTGGGGGATTAAAGTCATCTCTTCTTTATGTGTATATCTTTATCTTGAATATAAAAATTTATTGTATACAAAGAATTTGGAGTAATTACCCCTTGCATGTTTAAGAACAGCTGTCATTTTATTGTGTGCAATTGTGTGCAATTTCAGTATAATATATATACAGGGTGACTTTGAAGTTGAGTCATTAATTTTCAGATAATGATTGTAGAAGGAAGATAAACCAAAATATGTGTGTAAAAATAAAAAAAAAAATAAAAAAAAATGTTACCTTGTTTAATAAAGTATCCTCCCGACAAGTATTTCAGTGCGGACCTGTATTTGATCGTGCGGTCTTGGAGCAGCATGCCCTCACCTGTGAGGTCTTAAGTCACCTGATTCACGAGCCCTTTGCACTACATTAACAAAGGCACGAGGGGTTGGTTGCACTCGATTGGGAAACCGATTCGCATAAATCCGTGATGCATCCGGGAGCATTTTGTAAAGACTGCCCCCCCGTAAATAAGAATCATGTCCACAAGTTCAGCATTTTCGTAAACATGTGCCATTTTTGATTTCGTTTGAGCCACGCAACACACTACTATTCATTCAGGATTTATCGACTGACGAAAAACATCGTGATAAACGTTTCAAATTCTTTCGCTTTTTTGTTTCCGATGCGATGAACCGATCAGGCGGATTATATCCGTTGTCGCCTAACACGAGCATGTAATAGGCAGGGCGGTACTCAAACTTCCAAAGGGCTATAACTTTGTTACTTTAATTTTACCAGAAAAATGGTAAAGGAAAAAAACATTTCTTTTGATCAGATCTACTCACTGTTAAAATAAATGACTCAACTTCGAAGTCACCCTGTATATGTATATAACGTGTATATATATATATATATACAGGGTGACTTCGAAGTTGAGTCATTTATTTTAACAGTGAGTAGATCTGATCAAAAGAAATGTTTTTTCCTTTAACATTTTTCTGGTAAAATTAAAGTAACAAAGTTATAGCCCTTTAGAAGTTTGAGTACCGCCCTGTCTCAATAATAATATTATGTGCTCGTGTTTGGCGACAACGGATATAATCCACATCGGTTCATCGCATCGGAAACAAAAAAGCGAAAGAATTTGAAACGCTTATCACGATGTTTTTAGTTGGATTCAGTCGGTAACGCGTGAGTGAATAGTGGTGTTTGTTGCGTGGCTCAAACGAAATAAAAAATGGCACATGTTTACGAAAATGCTGAACTTGTGGACATGATTCTTATTTACGGGGGGGGGGGGGGTCTGGGGTGGGTCTTTTTAAAATCGGTTTCCCAATCGAGTGCAACCAACCCCTCGTGCCTTTGTTAATGTAGTACAAAGGACTCGTGAATCAGGTGACTTAAGACCTTACAGGAGAGAGCATGCCGGATGCCGGTGCTCCAAGACCGCACGATCAAATACAGGTCCGCACTGAAATACTTGCCGGGAGGATACTTTATAAAACAAGGTAAAATTTTTTTTTATTTTTACACACATATTTTGGTTTATCTTCCTTCTACAATCACTATCTGAAAATTAATGACTCAACTTAAAGTCACCCTGTATATACATATATATATAATACTATTTTAAATGTTTTCTATGTTGAACTCCACAAGGTATTTGTTGATAGGTGAACTGAAAGTTGTAAACCTTTCCTTCTTGTTTTAGGTAGGAGTAAAAAGATCCACGTCTTATGGCAATTCATATGTTTCCTTGTAGCATTTTCTTGCATCGCGCTAATTGCCTGGTTACTTTTCATGTTGCTTTCGATGTGCAAGCTGCTTAGGAATAAGAAAGAGGAAGAAAACCATAGAAGGGCGTTAGTGATACAAAAATATTTACCAAAACGAGGATTCGTGGAAAGATTGTTTGCTATAGACAGCAAAACTGAACATATTGCTCCCGGCAAAGATAAAGTGAAGTCTGTACGTATTGACAGAACTATTGAGACAGGCAAAGATGTTGAAAGAAGAGGAACTTTTGGAGATTCGTTTTCAGGCGAGGGAAGTTTATCGAGATCATTCTCTTAAGAATTATTTTTTCAACCAATTCGAGATAGAGGTGACAAAATAAAGTATTTAATATCTTTCAGTCATCATTCATAGTGAATTCTGAGTATTTTTATAAGAAAATGTACTGTTAGAATTACTATTTCATAGAAACAGTATGTAACGATTTCAATCGTAAACGTAAATATTGTAGAAAGTGTTGCCGAATTTATTATATCATTGTATGCATACCGTTATAGTTCATTGATTGGATAAAGATCTATAAATATAGGTTAGCTGATGTATCGACAGAGGTAGTGCGTAATTTAAATTGGCTAAGTTAAACAAAAAATAAAGCCTTTCGTAAAAAAAATTCCATTCGGCGCAACCACATTTCCGTATCGGAATTGTTAAATCGATTGTGATCATTCGAAGTGCGACAATAAAATTTGCGGATAGAGATTCGCAAAATATACAGGTTGTAAACGTTATGATAGTCATTATTTAAGTGGGTGATAGAGGGGGTTAAAAGAAGCGAAAAGTTTCATATAACATGGCATTTTTTTAGAGAAAAGCGACTTTAAAGTAAAATAAATCTGACAACGCCGCAAAACTATGCAAAAGGATAATTTAAAGATTAATCGATTTACCTGAAGGAAGATTAATCATAATTTTCCGAGCTTGCCCGAAGATATAATTATTACCATGTAGTTTCCGAATAAACCTACTCATCAGCACGAACTATTTACGTTTGAAAACATCTAGTGTTCCCTCCCCCCTCCAGCGGCCGGAGCTGTACCATTATATTCCCAGTCATTCCGTTGGAGTGCCTGAAAAAAAATTGCCTACCTTTTGGGGTAATTATATCTTCGGACAAGCTCGGAAAATTATGATTAATCTTCCTTCAGGTAAGTCGATTAATCTTTAAATTTTCCTTCGCTTGTCCCTGATATAATTATTACCATGTAGATGTTCAAACTAAAAGGCAATTTTTAATATTACAAAACTGGTATATTGTTGTTACTCGTTATTACACCTCTAAGGTATAACGTTCGTGAAATTAAATGAGATTCACTTATTTTAGCTCACTATTTAAAGAAAATTCATTACAAATACATACATAACACATACACATACATATATTTATATATACAGGGTGACTTCGAAGTTGAGTCATTTATTTTAACAGTGAATAGATCTGATCAAAAGAAATGTTTTTTTCCTTTACCATTTTTCTGGTAAAATTAAAGTAACAAAGTTATAGCCCTTTGGAAGTTTGAGTACCGCCCTGTCTCAATATCATGTGCTCGTGTTTGGCAACAACGGATATAATCCGCCTTATCGGTTCATCGCATCGGAAACAAAAAAGCGAAAGAATTTGGAACGATGTTTGTGTACAGTTTATTATTTTATTCAGTTCAGTTATACATACAGTCAGTGTCAGTGTCGCGTGTGAATAGTGTCTGTTGCGTGGCTCAAACGAAATAAAAAATGGCACATGTTTATGCGGATCGGTTTCCCAATCGAGTGCAACCAACCCCTCGTGCCTTTGTTAATGTAGTACAACGGGCTCGTGAATCAGGTGACTTAAGACCTCACAGTTGACCTCACGATCAAATACAGGTCCGCACTGAAATACTTGTCGGGAGGATACTTTATAAAACAAGGTAAAAAAATTTTTTAAATTTTTTTTTATTTTTACACACATATTTTGGTTTATCTTCCTTCTACAATCATTATCTGAAAATTAATGACTCAACTTCAAAGTCACCCTGTATATACAACCGCATGATCATATTCTCTCTCTCTCTGTATATATATATACAGGGTGACTTTGAAGTTGAGTCATTAATTTTCAGATAATGATTGTAGAAGGAAGACAAACCAAAATATGTGTGTAAAAATAAAAAAAATGTTACCTTGTTTTATAAAGTATCCTCCCGACAAGTATTTCAGTGCGGACCTGTATTTGATCGTGCGGTCTTGGACCACCGCCATGCCCTCCCCTGTGAGGTCTTAAGTCACCTGATTCACGAGCCCTTTGTACTACATTAACAAAGGCACGAGGGGTTGGTTGCACTCGACTGGGAAACCGATCCACATAAATTCGTGATGCCGCGGCAGCATTTTGTAAATAAGAATCATGTGCCACAAGTTCAGCATTTTCGTAAACATGTGCCATTTTTTATGTGGTTTGAGCCACGCAACAAACACTACTATTCACTCACGCGTTACCGACTGACACATTGACTAAATACAACTGAGTAAGCGTTTCAAATTCTTTCGCTTTTTTGTGTCCGATGCGATGAATCGATAAGGCGGATTATATCTGTTGTTGCCAAACACGAGCACATAATATTATTATTGAGACAGGGCGGTACTCAAACTTCTAGAGGGCTATAACTTTGTAACTTTAATTTTACCAGAAAAATGATAAAGGAAAAAAACATTTATTTTGATCAGATCTACTCACTGTTAAAATAAATGACTCAACTTCGAAGTCACCCTGTATACAGGGTGACTTTGAAGTTGAGTCATTAATTTTCAGTTAATGATTGTAGAAGGAAGATAAACCAAAGTATGTGTGTAAAAATAAAAAAAAAAATAAAAAAAATGTTACCTTGTTTTATAAAGTATCCTCCCGACAAGTATTTCAGTGCGGACCTGTATTTCATCGTGCGTCTTGGAGCACCGGCATGCCCTCCCCTGTGAGGTCTTAAGTCACCTGATTCAGGAGCCATTTGTACTACATTAGCAAAGGCACGAGGGGTTGGTTGCACTCGATTAAGGATAAGAATCATGTCCACAAGTTCAGCATTTTCGTAAACATGTGCCATTTTTTATTTCGTTTGAGCCACGCAACAAACACCACTATTGACTCACGCGTTACCGACTGACTGACTGAATACAACTGAATAATAATTCTAGTAAAAACATCGTTTCAAATTCTTTCGCTTTTTTGTTTCCGATGCGATGAACCGATAAGGCGAATTATATCCGTTGTTGCCAAACACGAGCACATAATATTATTATTGAGGCAGGGCGGTACTCAAACTTCTAAAGGGCTATAACTTTGTTACTTTAATTTTACCAGAAAAATGTTAAAGGAAAAAACATTTCTTTTGATCAGATCTACTCACTGTTAAAATAAATGACTCAACTTCGAAGTCACCCTGTATATATACAGGGTGTTTCAGTTTATTGTTGCATGAATTTGAGATTCGATAGAACTTTTAAAATTAATGCATAAAGTCTATATAAACATGGGTCGAAAAATGCGTGGCTTCCGAAATACAGGGTGTTTAAATTTACTTTCTAAAATAGTTTTTTTAAAATATTTCGAACAATATGTGATGTATAACAGAGTAAATTGGTACACAAGGGTTATTTGGTACGACAAAACGAACCATGGGCATAGTTTTACTGTAGCCGCTAGAGGGCGCTCTCTAGGACCGAAAATTTTTTCTTAGTGCAATTTTTTGCTTTTTGAATAAACAAACTGATTCTTCGCACTTTTCAACATAAAAAAGCTCTCTTGTGAATTTTCGTTATAGTTAGCCCTTTTTGAGATATTTCGATTTTTAAGGTTCGATGCATTTTTAATAAATAAATAACATAAATAATATACGAATGTTTTCTTTATCTTTGGCAATTGATTTTAATGCAAAATACGCGGCCTTGATCTCTAAAAAGTATATATGCATCGGTTGTTCATAATTATGCCAGAAACCATGATACCTGGATCCGTCACAAAAGGTTCCCCAACCCGTTGTGGAGGCGTCCGAAAAAATTGCGAGGGAAAAATTTTTTGATTTCATATTTTGACCCGATCCTATATTAGTGTGCCACCAATCTAATTCTTGATGTAAGGAGGTTGGAATATGCATCATTTTATTTTAATTACGATAATCTCGTCGTAACGAAAAATGTTTAATTTTGTCAAAGGGCTTAATATGAATAAAACCGTATTTCGTTGAAGGGCAAGAAGCTACAAGTTTACCTATTAACCTAGCAAGTTCTCTTATTGTACAACTATTTTTCTTTTTTTAAGTTAAGATCAACTTTCGAGTAGCTTGGAATTTCTCGTTAGAAAGTGAGATAGTCATAATAATCGTATTGTATGTATATAAAACCCAAGAGTTTGACCTTTTGCTGCGGGGATAACATACTTTTTTGTCTATTTATTACAAAACCTAGTTTGTCCAATTCTGCAAGAATTATTTGTGTATGTTGTTTGTATTCACTTTTATTTCTACCTATTATAAGAATATCGTCTAAATAAAATACGATGATTATTTCCATAAGGCGGAGTTTCCTTGCTAATGGTTTAACAAGTTTTGTAAAAATAAATGGTGCTATATTAAGACCAAATGGTAAAGATTTAAGCTGATACAGGTAGTTTTCGAATTTAAATCGTAGGTATTTCCTGTACTTTTTGCTAACTGAAATTAAAACATATGCATCCTTCAAATCAATATTTGAGAGATAATAACCTTCATTTAAAAGCTTCACCACAGTCCTATAATCCTCCAACTTGAAATGGGGAGCAATAATAAATGTATTAAGTATTATTCTTAACTAAGAAGTAAGATGATAGAAACTGTCCTTTTAGAGAACTACATTTTTCAATTGCACCCATTCTTAACAATTCCTGAATAGAGTTTTTATATTCTTGGAAAAGTTCAATTGGGATTTATACAGAGGGCTCAAAAAACTGCACAGGCCTGTTAAGAAAGGGTATTTTAACTCCTGTAATCCAATCCAAGACCACTCGGTCTCTTGTGATATTTTTCCAGCCCTGTAGAAAAAGTGAAAGTCTACCAGCGTGATTACTCACGTTTGTTCTAGCAGTTATTTCTGGTGATAGTACTTCTTGGGGTCTCTTCTGAACTGCCTCTGTTGTTCTCTCCTCTCTTCTCCCCCCCTCTTCTCTTCCATTTGGTAGCGCACGCCGGTAGTTTAAATGATAGCTATTTGGTATCCCAGATCCTGGAGGTCCTATTAAATTGGCGTGCCAAGTTTTCTTCTTAAAATCAGTACTGGCCTTTTTTATTGCCTGTTCGTTCTTCATTGTTTCAGCGAATTTTGTATTGAACAAAAAATCATCTATTTCCAAGTTATCTACCACCTTCTTACATTCAGGATTTAAATGTGGTATAATGTTAAATCTACGGTGAACTGAAAGCCCATGGTGAACGTTAGTAAATAACTGTTCTTTGTAAGGCATTATAGTCTTAATAACAGCCTCTACTGCTGACAGACCGTGAGCCAACTGCTGTTGTAAGGCTCTCATAAAACGATCGTGTTCAAGAACAGATTTTATTAGGCATGGCTGGACTTCTTTATTAATTTGAGGAGGTTGCAAAGCCTTACAATTTGAAGGTATTTTAAACTTTGTCATCAACTCTTCTCGTTGGTCCTTAGATAAACCTTTTTTTAAAAGGCTGTCCCAACGAATGACTATTTCCTCATGCAATTCTTTTCCTACATTATCCTGCGAGTCCGGTCTCGATCCTAGAGCATAAAAACTCTGCTCCGATTGCTCTATTTCATGGACTGTCTGGACATCTGACTTTCTAGTTTTTAAATTTGGAGCTTCATCCTCTGACAATTCTAAAACAATATTATATTGTCTAAGTGCCGGTTGATTTAATCAAATAGAATCGCACGATTCTATTCTGATAACTATTTTTTTTTTTTAAATCATTCGATTTTAATTTTCGGGAGTAACGCTCGCTACCCTAAAATTATTCAAGAATATATTGTTTTATGTATTTAGGTAAAAATTGCTCGATTTTATTTTCTAGCAGTGACATGAAAATCGCATGATTTCATGTATTTTAGGAAGTATCGCCCGATATTCCCGTTATAACCTCTTAATGTGCACATGTGTAAATTTAAGTCAACAATAGTATGACCTACCTGTTGTACTTGCATATTTTGCAGATGATGAATCACTAGATTCACTGGACTCACAAAGTTTATTTAGATGCTTCCGCATTTGACGAAATTGCTTCTTTAATATTTAATCTCACCATATTTGTCTTGGCTAGACAAACGTCGTTTAGACATTTTTATGGAAACCTTCCATACAACACTCACTATTCGAACTGTAATCACTTTATCTGTTGTCGCCGACGAGCACTCCAACGGAATGACTGGGCATGTAATGGTACAGGTCCGGCCGCTGGAGGGGGAAGGGAACACTAGGTGTTTTCAAACGTAAATAGTGCGTGCTGATGAGTAGGTTTATTCGGAAACTACATGGTAATAATTATATCAAGGACAAGCGAAGGAAAATTAACCACTGTTACCGTTTACGATCGATTGCCGGTTCAATAAGAGTGATGATGACCGACGCGCTGTCGAGTGCGTTTTAAATATTCAGTTTAATGAAACTTACTTTCTTACTGACTACAGATTTTGGCCTAACTTAGAAAAACTTATTGCCATCTATTTGTTAATTATCCAATTTAAAAACGTTTTAGATTAGATTATAAAATTTAGTGAGATTGTGGTAATTGTGGTCGATATAAAGCACTTAAAGTTGTAAACTATAAAGCCATTTAAACAAAAATCTATTGACTTTTGGACCATGGGTCATATGAACTTTTTGACTTGCTATGACCCCCCCCCCTATTACCCATTTCAATAATGACTAACGTTTACACCCTGTATAGAGCTGGAGCTATACAATCGTCCGTAGGTGATAGATGATCTCTGACTGTCGTACGAAGAGGTACAACCCGGCGAATCTCGTAGGCGGGACCAGACTGTGTGCATGCTGCATGTACACATGTTCCCTCGCTAGAGTCCATGCGGCATCCCCCTTCTCTCCTGTATGTATCCCCCTACAGCTCTAGGGCACACCATGGGTGTTTAGGCCTTAAGGCTCTTAAATAATTGGCCTCTCGTATATAGAAGTAGATCTGTTACTTTGTCAGTGTACTTTAATATGTGTGTAGTTATCTGCTCTCTGGCGTATTCAGGGGGTAGAGGCTTTGGGGCATGAGCACCACTCTCCAGAACCCTCTATCGCCTATTACGTTTTTCCTTATATAAATAATGGAGAATGCTGTAACTTTTGGGGAATGAAAGCCAGCCTCGCTATTTGGGTTCCACAAGGGCATCAGGTCCTAGAAGCACTGGTGACCCAGTGCCCTTCCGCTGTACAATGGCAACAAGGGCATTCGCTACAATTTTCAATTATTGATACTCCGCTCTTCCAATGTCATAATGGTCAGAAGCACTGGTGCAGCAGACGACGCAGCTCCCCCGTTATTCAATTCACAGCCGATGCGAAGGCTGGTTTCGTCCTAAGGCCACCACCCTCCCCCAGAGAACTTGTTTCTAGATGCAGCAGTGTATGGACTTGGCAGTGTGATGACGTATAGTTCAAAAAGTAACATACATACTTGACAATTTCCATCAAGAAGCAAAAAATAGCGTTATGCCAATGTTCAGAAATCTAGAGACATTGCCATTCAGTTCAGTTTTGCTTATAAAACCTAAAATCGTTAGTGCAGCTGATAAACTCGTAAGTCTGGCAGTACTGATTTATGCGATAAATCACATTTTGCTTACAATACAAAAAACCACTTTTGAAATGTGATTGAAACCGTCCCAGTTGTGTCTTTCAAAAATTTAATCAGCCCTTGTCTAATAAATCTTATACATTTTAGTCTAAGTTATACACATGCAGGGTGATTCACAAGTCGTGACCAAAAATGAAACAACATACACAGGACCGCCTTTTAAGGCGGTCTTCTATGTAAATTTTTGTCTCGAGGGCTTCATTAAAAAGATATGGGGTGTTGAAGTTTAAAAATAAAAAATTACAATCAATAATGAAATAATTTCATTTATATACCCTCAAAACCGTCAACTGGAATGAACTAAAATTTGGTATGTGGGTTTACCTAAGTACGCTCCACATTCAAAAGCCTTTACCTAATATGAACGTGCACCAGTGGCGGAGATACAGGGAGTTAGTTACATTATTTTTCTAGATAAAAACAGTACGCCACTGTTTTTTTTCGAAGCGCGTGTTTTTTCGAATTCTACTTTATATTTGGTACATATAATTACCCTTGTTTTTTCCTGTTTTCGTAAAAATAAAACAAATTAGATCATTCATGAAGAGGCGAGATACAATCAGTTTCAAAATAAAATAGGAGGCCTTGATACCAACTTGACCCTTCTTGGAAGATAGTTCGTCAAAGTTATGTGTTATGTGTCAAAAGTTTCTTTAATAGACGCCAACCTACCCCAAATGTTTTTACGCGTTCATTTCTGAGACTTCGGCAATATGGAATTACCAAAATTCCCAGAGGTAAAACCTGCAAGTGATTAATTTGGCGTTGGATGATCCTAGTACAAGTACTAGGCGGATTGCAGCCCAGTCACCATGTTCCCAAAGTTTTGTGTGGAGAATTTCAAATCGGGAAGTTTTACATCCTTATCATCGGCAAAATGTGCCCGGCGATGAAGTGCAAACGCAAAATATTTGTGAGTGGTTACTGCAAATACATAATCAAAATGCAGATTTTATTGTTTTGGTTTCTTGGTAAGATGACTCGCTTTTTACGAGGAGGGGAACCTTTAGTTCTCGTAATGAACGTATTTGGACGTTAGAAAATCCTCGTTCTATAAGAATCCAATCATTTCAACACAGATTTCCTAGAAATGTCTGGTGCGGCATTTTTTATGGCAAGCTGTTTATGCACTTGTTTTCACAACGTTTGAATGCAAACTCATAATTAGCTATTCTAGAGAATTACATAGAAAGTGTGTTAGATGATGTTCCTTTAGCAACGAGAGTACGAATGTGGTATCAGCACCACGGTGCCCCACCGCATGTCCGTCGTGACATAACCGCATGGTTATATACTAAGTGACATATAAATCCGAACACCCAGTTTAAATGGTTTTATTTTAATAAAAGTTGGTGAATGTATTTATCTTACTGTAAATAACAAGTAAAAAAATGTTCAGCCTTATCAGTTGGACATTCCGGTTTTTATACTGCTTTTTTTAATTCACTAACGCTCTAAAAATGAATATTTCAGCCGCAGTAAAGAATCAACGTTGGCGGATTTTGGTTCTTGACATCCTTTACGATCGGTTGCGATGCCTAGAGTACGGAGACCTGTACGATTTCGTCAACTTAGTGAGTTTGATAGGGGCCGTATAGTGGCACTTCGGGAAGCTGGACTTTCTTTTCGGGCAAATGCAGTTAGAGTGCAAAGAAGTGTAGACACTGTGGTTAGGTGTTGTTAGGCATGTCTTCGAGAAGGCCGTACGCAAAGAGCAAGATAATGCCCGACCACATGTTGCAAGAGTCACAATAGACTTCTTTCAACATAATGATGTCACATTGTTACCATGGCCACCAAGATCTCCCGACTTATCCCCAATTGAGCATGTGTGGGATATGATGGGTAGGAGATTGCTCAATTTGCAACGTCCTCCTCAGACTCTAGAAGCACTTCGAGAGGAGTTGGTGGTTGCCTGGAATGAGATACCACAGGAGGACATTGACCACCTGATCAGAAGCATGCCTAGGCGCGTTGGAGAATGCGTAGCACATCAGGATGCATCCACACATTATTAAAGGTCAAAGGGCTTTAAAGCAGTGCAATCATTTTGAAATTTTTATCAGTTACTTATTATGCTTCAGTAAGTACTTATTCAAAATTTTATTAAAGTAAAACCATTTAAACTGGGTGTTCGGATTTATATGTCACTTAGTATATAATCAATCTAGACAATCATGGATGAGCAGAAATGGACCCAAACAATGCACTCTAGGAAAAACACAAAAGTAATTATTTGTAGCCATTTGAAGGTAAAATTCGAAATATTGCGGGTTTCGAAAGAAAACAGTGGTGTACCATTTTTATTTGGAAAAATAATGCCACCAATCCCCTGTATGTCCGCCACTGGTGCACGTTAATTTTATGTAGAGACCTTTGTATGTGGACAATACTAAGGTAAATCCACATACCAAATTTTGGTTCATTCCAGTTGACGGTTTTGAAGATATTAAAAAAAATCTTTTTCATTTTAAAACTTCAACACCCCATATCTTCTTAATCAAGTTCTCGAGAAAAAAATGTTACATAGAAAACCTCCCTTAAAATGCGGTCCTATGTATGATGTTTCATTTTCGGTCACGACTTGTAAATCACGCTGTATGCATGAGCTCATGTCCAAGCACAAGTTTCTGCGAAACATTTTTGGGTTCATTCGTTTATTATATGCCATTTCCTTTTATCTATTACCGCTATACTTTTCCTTTTCTTTTAACAATAAACGTTATTATCATAATTATTCGAAACTGAAACAAAGTCCATCTATTGAGTCAATCGGAATTAGCTTATGCTGACGTCACAAATTGTTGGCGACTCCATCAGACTTTTTGAAATTTCCATTATAAATAAGCAGACATTTCCGAGGAAAAACTGCAAAATATCAAACTTCATTCTTCATTTTAATGCATGAAAATGCAAAAATATCGATCATATTGTGTACGCAGTTTCATTCGTTTGTAACAACAGGACATGAAAATGGACAACGTTTCATAACCTGTCGAGATTTTCTATGGGAAAAATTTAAAAAACCTCAGCATATTTTTGATCTACAGGAAGGTTAGTCTCCTAGGTAAATCGGATGCGTATGTACTAAATCCATCATCAATTTGCTTCTAAGATCTAGGGATAATGTGAAGCTACCCATTTTCTACCTCATATTCGGTCTGACGTCACTTTATGATTTTTTCATGATCATGTACGAATTCAGCTCAATAAATTTCCAAGAGAGGTAACAAAAAACCCTTCGAAAATGACATCTTTACTGTATTCAACAACACACAGCCGATATGAGTTGGTCAAGAAATTTTGGTATTTATATTTTCGTTTAACTGTATCGAGAAAATCGACTCTCCAGGTCAAGTAACCACTAAGCATGCAATTCACGTAACTACGATCCTGCCAATTTAGATTTAGATTTTCCCTCGAGTGTATTCGAGAACCCACTGGCATTCAACCGAGAAATTGGATAGGCGATTGCAACAGAATTTGATAAAAGGAGATTATTCCGTTTTTCTCTCTAACATTATCTCTTGCGTGTTAGATGAGAGCAGCTGAGATCGACT